TAACGTAAAAGGTTATTATGATGTTGTCTGACATTAGGAGGGCACGGTGACCATGAATGAACAGGAGAAAGGTTTTGCAAGCTCTACAAACACTAGAACATTGATGCAGCCTAGACTCTCGAGATGTCCAAGTGCCTTGTGCTGTATAGTTGTCCAAGTGAGCTCCCCACCTGGGATGCATCAGTAATGATTGGCCTGTCTACTGCGGGGGCAAGGAAGGAAACACTGACAAAAACCTGACAGGGGTTCTTCCACCATGACAGTGACAATATCACTTTGGTGGGAACAGTCACTATGGTGCCCACGGACTGTTGGTTTGGCGAATATACAGTTTGAAGCCATATTTCTGGGAACAAAGGTATAGTCTTGCAAAAGGTGTGACGTAAGGGCACGAGGCCAGATGGCCTAAGCAAGAGAGAGCAAGAGGTCTGAGAAGCTTTCTGGGGTTGGTTATGATCTGATCTATGATAACATTCACAGTCTGAAACCAGTCTCTTGGCAAATAAGCCCTTGCTGTGATGGAATTTAAGGATGCTCTGTTGAAGTCCAAAGTCTGTGTAGGGGTGAGAACAGATGTTTTGGTGTTTACTCTGACCCTCAGAGGAGTTTAGCATTGTCAAAGTTGACACATGGGCCTCTTGGCATGACCTGGTGACAAGGATTAAATCGTCAACGTAGGGGGAAGACTGTGAAACCACAGAGTTTGATAGAAGCAGTTATGACAGAGAACACCTTGGTAAAGACCCTGGGGGTGGCAGCAATGCGGAAAGGGTGTAATGAAAGGGGTCAGAGCAGACTATAAATCTGAGACAATGTTGGAGAGTGGTGTGAATGCCCACATGAAAGTAAGCGTCCTTCATGTCGAAAGCTGTCTTTTTCCAGGGACGGAAATATAGATGTCAACATGACAATGCAAAACTTGAGTTTGCAAATAAAGCAGTTGAGATGGTAAAGGATGAGAAGGGGTCTCCAATCACCCTTCTTGGAGACTAGGTAATATGTTGAGTAAAAAAACCCTCCCTTGGGACCAAAGAGGAACCCGCTCTATCACTCCTTGATGTCAGAGAGATTCCACTTCTTGTTAGAAAATGTTTTCGTGAGAGTGGCTCCCAAGAAGGGGTGGGGAAGAGGTTTTTCTAATGTCCCTGAACATTTCACAATCACAATCACCATCTTGATCAAGTGGTTGCTGGTATATTTCTACTGCTATACTCTTCTTGTTCAAGCATGGAATTTCGATGGTACAATTTGATTCACTTAAGATTTTTACTATATTTGACTCTATGCTTTCTTTCATATAGTGCCACTCCCCCACCAGCAAGATCTACTCTGTCATTCCTATATATTTTGTACCCTAGTATTAACCATGTCCCATTGATTGTCATCATTCCACCAAGTTTCCGTGATTCCTATTATATCAATATCCTCATTTAATACCAGGCACTCAAGTTCACCCATCTTAGTATTTAGACTTCTAGCATTTGTATACAAGCACTTATACAATTTGTCCTTATTTTGCTGTCTGCCTTCATGTGATGTAATTAAATGGGACTTTTTTTTCATTTGACTGTTTCTCTTCCATTCCTTCCTGTACTTTATCAACTTCTGTCGTCCCCTCTTCACTAGGATATAGAGGATCCCTCTTAATAGAGCCTCCCCTATGGGATATGTCCGATCCAACCATGTGCTCTTCCGCACCTGTCGTCTTTCCTGCAGTGGTTAGTTTACAAACTCCTCTATGATCTTTTTAATTTTACATGTCAGCACTCTGGTTCTGTTTTGGTTTAGGTGGAGCCCATCCTTTCTGTATAGGCTCCTCCTTTCCCTAAAGGTTCCCCAGTTCCTTATAAACCTAAAACCCTCCTGCCTACGCCATTGTCTTACCCATGCATTGAGACCCTACAGTTCTGCCTGTCTAACAGGCCCTGTGTGTGGAACTGGAAGTGTTTCAGAGAATGCGACCATGGAGGTCCTGGACTTCAATCTCTTACCTAGCAGCCTAAATCTACTGATCTTCCTTCAGAAAAATCAAATGAAAAAGCAAAGCAAGGGGTTATTAAAGAAATGAAGAAAAAAAATGTATATGGTGCAGGGAGCAACTGAAGTGGGTCTAGTGTTTCCAAGGGTTTTATAGTATTAACTCAAGTCCACCGTGAAGAACAGTGCCATTGTGTCCCTCTCTTTTGTGGGGTGTGGGGAAAGAAACTGCTGTTTTGTAAGCAGGAGGCTCTCAATCTTTATGGCCACTGAAATCTTTAATATTACTACCAGAACCGATAACTGTGACTCAGTGGCATAGCCAGGATGTGACACTTGGGTGGGCAATGACAGAGGGTGACGGTAAGAGCGATTGGGGCAGCCTCTCCACTCCTCCAGCCCCTTGGGAGGGGGGTGATAGACGCTTTGACCAGGGGCCCTGGAAAAACTGGAGGGCCCTGGAAAAATGCGCATCTATGCGCTCCCACCTGCCTGGCGCTCAGGGCTTGCCCCACTCTGCGTGCACCCCGACCCCCCACCCTCCCTGGCAGGCGGAGTTGGGCAAGCGCTGGGGGCGGGAGCAGAGCCGGGAATGGGTTAGTGGGACTACCGTAGATAAGTGGGTGGGCCACAGCCCACTCAGGCCCACACTTGGCTACGCCCCTGCTGTGACTGGTGTGGACATTAGTCCAGAAGATCCTACAGCTGCATGTAATGATAATGATGCCTCTTTTTGCTTTTCAACAGTAATTCTCCATGCGTTTCACAATCTTTTAAGCATTTATCCTCACAACACCCCCTATGAGATAGAGAAGCATTACATCCCTATTTTACAGATGAACTGAGGCACAACGACTTCCCCAACATCGTGAAGGAGGGCTGTGGCAGAGCAGGGACATGAACTCCTATTTCCCAGATCCTAAGCCAGTTCCCTAACCACTACCATTCTTTCCTGCTGTATGACAATCACTGAGCATCTAATCACCTAGACAGCATTCAAACACATGACTTAGCCTTCTGAATCAACCACTTAAATGTTTCATCTGCTAGCACAGGCAAACAGCATTTTGGGCTGTATAAGTAGGAGCACTGCCAGCAGGTCGAGGGACGCAATCGTTCCCCTCTATTCGGCATTGGTGAGGCCTCATCTGGAGTACTGTGTCCAGTTTTGGGCCCCACACTACAAGAAGGATGTGGAAAAATTGGAAAGAGTCCAGCGGAGGGCAACAAAAATGATTAGGGGGCTGGAGCATATGATTTATGAGGAGAGGCTGAGGGAAAGGGATTGTTTAAGTCTGCAGAAGAGAAGAATGAGGGGGGAATTTGATAGCTGCTTTCAACTACCTGAAAGGGGGTTCCAAAGAGGATGGATCTAGACAGTTCTCAATGGTACCAGATGACAGAACAAGGAGTAATGGTCTCAAGTTGCAGTGGGGGAGGTTTAGGTTGGATATTAGGAAATACTTTTTCCACTAGGAAGGTAGTGAAGCACTGAAATGGATTACCTAGGGAAGTGGTTGAATCTCCTTCCTTAGAGGTTTTTAAGGTCAGGCTTGACAAAGCCCTGGCTGGGATGATTTAGTTGGGGATTGGGTCCTGCTTTGAGCAGGGGGTTGGACTAGATGACCTCCTGAGGTCCCTTCCAACCCTGATATTCTATGATTCAACTGATCCAATGTTGATCATAATTTGTTCTTGTCTATGCTTACAGTTAAATTGCATTCATTGCCAAGTCAGCCGGCCTGACAACATTATTTCCTAGTGTAGTCAAGGCCTTAGAAGTTCCAACTTCCCAATGAAATATCTGGAACTTTAGTTGTGATTTGAAACGACAGCTTCTAAATACTTGTACCACAGAGAAAAATAAAAGTCTCCCAAGCTGCAAACCACTGCAAGATAAATTATCAAGATTCAGTATTAACTGCTTTCCAAGCGGTGCTTGCACATGTCAAGATATGTATTTGCCACAGTTGTAAATTAGCTATTGTCAGATCTGGTCAGTAGCTAGACTGAAGATTTTTAATTTCTTTAATACTTCGAAAAGCACCTGAAACAGGCGAAAGCAGGCTAAGCGAACACCATTCAGAGCAGGAGAAACAATTCGGATTCAGTATTTTATCAAAAACTCTTATGTAGTACCCATGAAAATACAACTTTAAACGACACACCCTTCCCTCCTTCCTGACTCGCTCAGCACTTCATTGCCCGACCTTGTAGTCTTGTGTTCAATGCTGGATCAATGGTCCATTCACCCTGCTTGAGATGCAGCCATAGCAAGTAAAGCGCCCATCAGACACGTGAACTCCATTTCTATCCGACAGAAATGAAGTGGTTGGACAGACTTTGTTTAAGCACAAGCAATTCACTGCTTTCAGACTAGCCTTGCAGAATCACTTTATCAGAGGGTAGCCCAAATAAATCTGTTAGTCTTTAAGGTGCCACCAGACTCCTTGCTGTTTTTGTAGAATCACTTTAAAAACCCTCATACTTTTGCTCCACAGTAGTGCTCTTCTAAACCATTTCAACTGCAATGCATTCTGGGTACCTACCCTACAGGTTGTGGCACAACTCCCAGAAGCAGTGGGTCTGGAACATCTGAAAAGGCCACAGATGCACTGTGGGATGATAGTAGGACAACTAACTGAGCTATTTCAGCAACTCCACTGGTACTAAAACTATTCAGACTGAAGTGGTTCTTAGACCTGTTGAAAGCAAGTCTCATCCCATTGGTTTCTGAATGCATGTAGACTGTTTGGAATCCTTTTGTACGTGGGGATGGCGTTTTTACAGGCATTCTAGGGGCAGGATGGTGCTTAGAATGGTAAACTTTTCGAGTTCAGACCAGGCTCAAGAGCCATAGGTTGAGCAATACATTTTACAGTGATCGCTTGCACAAATCTAATTGCTTTGGATCCTGCCTTCAGCCAGGATTTCTCCTGTCACAGCAAACTGTAAACAGCCTCTTTTGTTGACACCGAAATGTAAAAATGATATCAGTCCACTAGGAAAGGAAAATATCTCAGCATTTTAATTAGAATAAGTACAAGCCATAAAGCTTGTTCCATTTAATGTAAATTCCAAGTAGTTATCAAATTGTTAAATGCATTCAATTATGTACAGACACATCTTTGCTAAAATTCATGTTCATTATCAAATATTAATAAGTTACCAGAAGTTGACACTAATTAAAAAATAACCCCAGTAAAAATGTAGAACACAATATTTTAGTTTGAATATAAAGGTGTATGAGAAATGTTTTGTACAGCTGCAGTCTTGTTAATTCTCCTCTTTGGTCCTCTGTTTTCTTGCAACTTAATTCAATGCATAGTTAAACTGGTTTGCAAACTTCTCATGCTTCTTCTGGTCCATTCGATTCATTGCTTTCACCACCCGTTTCATGGCCCCTCTGTAAAAAAAAAAGCAAGAGGTGGATGAAAACAAGTTAACAGCTAAGTTGATTCTATATGTAGAGTCATGGGAAATGTTTATTAATGTTAGCAAAAAAATGGAGTGAGGTATGATTAATCACTAATCAGGCCTCTGAGCACTGCATTGATGAGGCAGAACAAATCTGTCATGTTAACTAAATTAGCTGCAACAATACAAATATAGTTTAAATTCAACAGTGGCTTTTATTAATAGGAGTAAACAAATTAAAGTCTTTCAGTTTAATGGTTGTACATTCTACCCTCATTACAGCACCATCCTTGGTAGACAAACATTTGAAGTGGGATTTTTCAGAAGCATTTAAATCGCTTAGGGGCACAAGTCTCATTGGTTTTCAATCACACTTGTGCTCCAACGGCACTTCTGCAAAATCTCACCTTTGAAATCCCAGAGAGTGCTCTTAGAAAGGGGAGAGACTATGCAATGCAGAATCAAGAAGTTTTATTGCAAAGACATTTCTTAAGAGTAGTTTTTCTTATGAAAAGAACATTACAATACCAAAACTCAAAACTAGGTGAATATCTTATTTAGAGATGCCTTTTAAAGGGCTTGCTGTTCAATTAAAAAGACACACTTTATTGCAACCTTCCTTTCAAAGGTTCCCCAAATGTTTTACTACTATATAAAGGAAAGGAATCTCTTTATCCCTTCCCCATCCCACTTCTAAGATGGAATATGGCAGCTATTTAACTCATACAAACACTACAATACCTTAGAAAGAAAGTGGAGGATAATACCTTGCAAATAAACGGTTACCTATTGTGACATTATGCCCCATATTCTTCATAGAAATATTGTTATGATATGAATATGGCATAACTAAGATATGTTTTATGCAAGATGGGTCATGTGAGGTATCATTGGAAAGGTTATGATTTACTGAATGTGATTATCCAATCTGTATGCATGTATTATTTCTGGTATCTGAAGTTAGAAATATTGACTATGTAATAATTACAACTTTGTTTTCACCTGGGGAACACCCGCCAGACAGTATGCAAACAGCCTGGATGGGCCATGAGGAAGGACAATAGGACTTTGAAGATACTACTCTCCCTCCTTCCTGAGACGTTTCCTGGGCTGCTGCTTTGACACTGCAGGGTCAGGTGATCATGTCACCTGGTACTGGACATCATTTTGGACTTCTGATATTTTGCCACTGAAAGGGGGTGGGGGTCAAGCTAGGAAACAAAGCATTCCCACCATATGTAAATCCTATTTAAGGCTGGGGAGTGAGTTAATCTTGGTTCTTCTCCACTGCCTCCCTGCCCGAGAAGGAAGGAAGGAAAGGAAAACACCTGAAGAAACAAAGGAACTAAACTTGGGGGGTGGGGGCTGAGCCCGATCTGGGAACGGTGTCTGACCCATGAAGGATATACCTGGAGTTTTAAGCTGCAAGCAAGAGCTGTCTGTCCCCAAAGAAATTCTGCAACCTGCTTAAAACAACATTTAGGGTGAGAACCTATTATTTGTAGCCAGTATTCTTTAGCGTATCAAGCTTAGTTTGCATGTTTTGTTTTATTTGCTCAGTAATCTGCTTTGTTCTGTTTGCTATCCCTTATAATCACTTAAAATGTATCTTTTATAGTTAATAAACTTGTTTTTTGTTTATTCTAAAATCCAGTTTGTGCAATTCATAACGAGGCGGGGGGGGGGAGGAGCGCAAAAAGCTGTGCATATCTTCCTACACATTGAGGGAGGGAGCGAATTTCATGAGCTTACGCTGTATAGATCTCTATACTGCGCCAGACAATATAATTTTGGGTTTACACTCCAGAGGGTGTGTGCACCAGAGTGCTGGGCAATTCCCTGAGCAGAGTCCTCCTACACAGAGCTGATTGCAAACTCTGTGTGATTCTACAGCTGAGCGTGTCCCCACCTGTGTGTGTACGTGCACGCAGGACAGGGTGAGGGAACCCAGACTGGTGGAATGGGCAGGCTCAGTGGGACCCCAATACATCAGGTGGCACCCCGGAAGGGGGGTCCAGCCCATCACACCTACCTTTCTGTAACTGTTCTTCTTTGAGATGTGTTGCACGTGTCCATTTCAGAGTGTGTGTGTGCGCGCGTGCGCACACCTCGTGCACAGTTGTTGGAGAACTTTTTCCCTCAGTGGCACCAGTTGAGGCAGCTCTGTTGCCACACACCACTGTGTGCTGGTATGAGAGGACAGAGCTGCCCCGATCCCCTCAGTTCCTTCATACTGGATAAACTCCAATAGCGAGAGGAAGGAGGGTCGTGGAATGGACATGTGTAACATCTCAAAAAACAACAGTTACAGAAAGGTGGGTAACAGTTTTTTCTTCTTTGAGTGCTTGTTTGTGTCCATTCCACTATAGGTGACAAACAGGCAGATAAACATGGAGGTGGGGTCAGAGTCTACCTGAACAGCAATTGTAGGACAACCCATCCAAAACTATCCTTGCACTGATGGGAAATGGCATAATGAGAAGCAAAAGTGTGCACTGATGGCCAAATTGATGCTTTACAAATGTCTGTAATCAACACTTGCTCCAAGAAAGCTGCTGAAGTTGCCTGCGCTCTAGTGCAACGTGTCAATACCCTATCTGTTGGGGTTATATTAGCCTATTAGTAGCATAAATGAATACATGAAGAGATACAGGATGAGATTCTCTGAGTGGAAATTGGTTGGCCCTTAGCTCTGTCCACAGTTGCAACAAACAACTGCATGGAGGACCTTAAGGACTTAATGTGCTCCAGGAAGAAAGCTAAAGCCTTTCTTATATCCAACAAATGAAGTTTCTCCTTATCTCTATGAGCATGGAGTTTTGGGAAGAACATCGGCAAGTAGATTGCCTGGTTAACATAATGGAATGGCCACTGATATGGGCCTGGGGCCCATCCTTGACTGGACCATTGCCCCTTAAGGGAAGGCCAGTGTTGCAACTGTTGCGTGACCCATGGTCCCCAAGTCTCTGATGGAAGGTATGCCCTCTGTCTTGGATGGGGCACAGACGAATGCAGCTCTGAGTTTGAAAAGAAAGAATCCAAAATGTCTGACAACAGTGGGAGAGGGAGGCAGAACCAGATAGGACTTGGGGATAAATAGCCCAAACCTGGAGATGGCAGTACTGGGGATATCATTGGAGGCTTGCCTTTCGATTGCACTGGCCTTTACGGAAGCTTGGCGGATAACGGTACTGTGGGTCCCTGAAGCAGTGAGGTAGGCGTTGTAGGCATCATTACTGGTTGTAAACCTTTTTGCACTTCCAGGGATACTGATATCAAGAGGCTAAGCAGGTCCCTTGCAGATGGTTGGGAGTGGCAATGCCTGATGGCTCTGCCACAGAGACCCTCAGGGGCACCCTCAACAGACCTCATACAGGCTCCAGAGGCAGTGATCCCTTTTTAGCTGAAGAATACTCCAGCGAGTGACTCTTGCCAAAATGTCTCGTAGAAGCTCTGCCTCTATTTGGCTTTGGCACGGACACACCCAAGTAAGATACCGAGCCTAAAGAAGGGACGAAGGAGCTGCAGACATCTCCAGTGCACTCCATACCGAAACTGATGTACTTGGGGTGCTCTCCACGTGAGATGAGTCTGATGGAGGGTGAAGTGTTGCATCCATGAGTAAACATTTGAGGCTCGCTATTTTCTTTGAACGGGGCTTAAATCCCTTACAAATGTGACATTTGTCACTTATGTGGAATTCTCCCAAACATTCGTCACTGACTGGCGTAGGTTTAGCGCAAGTCCTGCAGGACTTAAAATCTGGTGAGAGTGACATTGTTCTGGTACCGATCCCAGTACCAAAAGATGAAAAACAGTTCCAAAAAAGACCGAAGACTAAAATATATTGCTAAAACTAACTTCAACTTAACTAATTCCTAACAACAACAACAAATATGTATATGTATGATAGGAGTGAGGGAAGCACTTATGACAAGTCTGAGATTGCTCCAACAACCATCAATGGAAGTAAGAAGGAACTGAGCAGGTTGGGGGCAGCTCCACCCTCTTCTACCAGCCCGCAGTGGTGTGTGGGGACAAAGGGTGCTCGGGCCACCCTGACAGGTACTTCTGAGGGAAAAGAGTTCTCTGACAACTGTGCACGTGGCATGCACACCCACCCACTGTGAATGGACATGTGCAAGCACTCAAAGAAGCGTATCTAGCAGGGTAAATTCATGTAGGCAGGATGAATAGTTGTCCACAACTCAAGCTAGCCAGGACTGTACAGCTAACACTCCTATACTTGCAAGAAGTAGAATGGGATCTTTAATGCCTGCTGGTGGCCAGGACCAATGTTTCATGCCTGGAGTGGTGCCTGCTGAGCACGAGCAGTCTCCTTCTCCCCCACTCTCTCCTGTTTCTAGTTAAATCTCTGTTCTTTTTAAAATAAACCTACTTTTATTTTATCAGATGTCCTCAAGTGCTGTGCAGTTTACAGAAGCGATGGCGTAAGGTAAAACTGGTAAACCAAGGACACTGCACCTCTGGGTACAGAGGACCTGGGATTTCTGTGAGTAGCCAGTGTCAGGGGCTGGATATCACAGGGGAATGATTCAAAGGGACTCAGGGAATGGCACACACCTATTGTTGATATGCAAGGCGAAGTTAGGGCTGGCAAAGCCCAGAGAAGAGTGCTTGAGCGAATGAAAGGCTGGTGGTATCAGGGAGCTGATACTCAGCTACAAGAAAGACTTCCTCACTCCGGAGACAGGAGGTAACAAGGTGATTTGCAGTCCTGGGTGCCTTGAGAACCATCACAGTCACATACTGCGGGCTAGGATACCTACTCTCTCCAGACTGTATTTCTATCTCAAAGCCATGACTAGGGCTCCTAGTGCTACGGTAATACAAATAATAACGACAGGTGAGGGTGGCTGCAGGATGTCTTGTAGAACCAGGGCCTGGTCTCCAAGGTGCTCATTGAACTCAATGACTAGAGGGCACCCAACATCTTGCAGGGTCACATCTTAGTGTTAGTCTGTTCTATCTGGGTTTTTATACCCAAACTATCTCCATGGTAGCTGAGCACCAGGAGACGCACTTTAATTGCCCCTGTATAACTCTAACTGCTTCACTCTGAAAACCATTTTGAAACCTCTGAAAACAGAAGAAACTTCTTAATACTGCTTTTAAATGGACAGGGTAAAGCTCTTCTCAGCAGCAGTTGTAATAGACGTCAATATTCTGAAATAAACACCTTGAAAGTAGTGTCCCTTTAACAAAAACTCTACCAGCAAAGTTAACAAGGATTGTAGCTCTGTTCTTGCCAGAATAAGAAAAATGTGATCATGGTTTTGCACTTCAAATATTATCTAATTGGTAGGAGAAAAGTGAGTCTTTAGCACTGCACAGCGGCCTTGACACTTTCATGTCATGTAGGTTTTACATTAGCACCACTGGGTTGTGCGATACTGTAAATGAAATGAGATCCCACTCTGATGATCTGTGTGCAATTTCACTTAACTTTATTGGCAGACTAGAGCCTGGGTTTATCACCTGTACATTTCAAGTAATTTGGGGTTGTTATAAAGAGCCAAGGTTATCATCTTGTTTAGTGCTGCAAACCATGAAACCTATTAAAACATGACAGGTTTGATTCCCCACGCCTCGCACACAAACACACTCAAAATCATTAGCACGAAGCACAGTAAACTAAAAACAGCTTTTTGAATTTATTTTGTAAAGGCTGATGTGAAATTCTGATTAGTAAAACTTCATGGCTTATTGACTTCTCTGACGAAGACCTGATAATATGAGAATTTCACAGAAAATGTGCCATTTTTTGACCAAAAGCCAGAAAAGCAATGTGGAATTTTTTTTTAAGTTATAATACCCACTGCATCAAACAAGGGAAAATGCAGAATTTTAAAACAAATGCTATCCCTTGGATGGTGTTTAACTAACACAGTCTGATGCTCTGGACACAATAGTCCAGCATCAGTGGTTTTTTAGTACTTTGCCTCTTGAATTGATAATTTGGTTACTCTGTTTCACTTGCGTTGGTCACACCACTCAGTGTCTGAAAGTTTCTAGGCACATCAGCTGCTACCCTGTTTGAAGCATGCTGAAGTTTCTCTATCCAAGTTCTTATATGGTACCCATCATCACAGTATGAGAGTGCCTCACAAGAGAATAATCTCTGTAAAAAGAAAAAGGTCTAATTTCCTCCTTAACAAGACTAAAACTAAGTAAACAGATCTGTAAGTCAGGATGATGGGATGCCGCCTTCCATTGGAAGTCTATGACAGCAGAGACCCTCCCTTGTCTGTGGGCATGTCTTCACTGTAGTGATGGTTCAAGTTACTGACATTCAAGTTAACTTCCCTCGAGTTAGCCTTGAGTGAGAGCAGTAGATGCAGGCAGTAAGTGAAGGTGATAATATACAAATGACCAATCTTAATCTTTAAATATATATGCGCACACATCCATGCAAACATTACTTATTTTGGGACCCCTGACTAATTTGCCCTCTTTAAAGAGAAATGTGCCCGCCCATACTCTCTTGACCAGACAGTTTCCTGTGCAGTTGGCAAAAGTGGCCCTGGCAGCACCAGAGGGCAGCAGTGACTGCCTGAATGCAGTAGGTTGGAGGAAACGGGAGGGGAATGGAAACAGTATTGTGAATCTCCACCCAGGCCTCTCTCTCAGCAGGGCATGCAAACTCTCCAACTCTCACTTCTTTGGAAGAGGTAGAGAGACACGGCAGATTCCCCTCCTAGAAGCACTAACAAAGGCCCATAGGGGGATTACAGGAATTTGGGCAGGGGACAGAGGCTCAGCTTCACTGCTTGCTGGTTGGCACTGAACTCTCCAGCTGTGTGCTACTCTCCTGCACCAGCTTTTCACCTGGTTTGCACGGCAGAGGTGCTTCTCCCCAAGTCCCTGAACAGGAGGCCGGGATGAGAACAGTAGCAGCCCAGGTCACAATGCTTCAGCTCCCTTCATGTTGCTTGTGCTGCTACTAACACAAGAAGATGGGACTTGGGCTATAAAAGTGAAGAAAGATTTTTGGGGGAGGAAGTTTGGGTGAGAATGCAGAAACTAGCTATAAGTTTCAAAAACAAACCGGCCACAGAGTAATATTTTTAAAAGGTGAAGTTTAGGGGGGAAATTCAGCCAAGTCTTAACCTGTGAAAAGTGACCCTGTAAAAGAATATCAACGGGTTCCATGTTTTGCTGGTGATTTTCAGATCCCAGCTGTCCAACTGAAAGGTTTTTGCCAGCCCTGCAAACACAACCTGTGATCTGAAAGTCAATCTGAGTACTCTCTGTGACCTGTATCAGCACCACTAATAACAATTCTATAACTGACATTCAGCCTTCGATTCTGTGGATACATGAAACAGAGTAGGCTCCAGCTCCTTCTCCCATAGCTGCAATGGCTTATTAGGGCTAACAAGAATAAACTCTAGTACATTTATTTTTGTCAGGGACGTAAGCAGCTATAACTCTGAATACATGCTAGGGGCAGATCTGTTGAGAAATGCTCTATTTTTACCAAGTACTTTTCAGACTATAATGACATTTCAATTACAATGGAGAGGTACTGAGCCTGATGAATACTAGTGCGTAAGAACTAACAGAGGCTACTTGTAGTTTTACCCTGTGTGCCTGAATGGCCAGCATGTCTCTTGTCAGCTAGTAGTTTAGGGGAGAAGATCAGTAACCGACCTTTCCTCCCAGCCTTGGCTGCTTTGGACCAAATTCTTATTTATTGTGTGACACAGGCACAGGTTTAAGTTTACTGCATAGATCTGTACAGCTTTAATTATCTTTAATTGCTTATTTTACTAACCGGTTTACTGCACATTTAGTGGACCCCAATGCCTAATTCTTTACTGAGGTAAAAAAGAGCAACAGCAAAGCAGTGTGGCAGCCTGCCATAAGAAACAAAGGAGGGAGGACAGAGTGTGACACACTTTTTTCCCCTCCTTGATAAGACTAGTAGAGAAACTGAAGACCATTTGTGACACATTTCCTTTAGTCTTTTACTTCCCTTTATACTCTATAGCTTGACTTTCTTCTCTATCACTGTTCAACTTCACCATTTACCCTAGTCTATTGACCACTTTGTGCAGCCTGGGACGGCTAATAGGTGTGCAGCTACCACCCTCCTTCTTACCACCCTGCACAACCCTTCCCAGCTGAACTACTGCTCTGAGAAGGAACGAAGTCTAGGAAAATACAAACCTGGTTGTATGCTCTAGGATCTGCTTTGTCCCAGATCACAAATGTTTAACTGGGAGGTGTTGTACCTTTGTCCAGCTAAGGTATAGCTGGGGTCAAAGTCCAACTCTAAGGTCAAGAAAGTAATGGGGATGGTAACATGGGAGGCAAGAGAGAAGACATGGCCTTCTGGAAACCTAGCAAGTGGTCAGAGGTCGGGGGAGATCAACCCAGTAACCAGCACCAAGATTCCACTGCAGGCAAAAGCAAAACAGCTCGAACATAGGCCCTTTTATTGGTCAATGCTGTTCACCCTGAGCACACCTCTAAATTGTTCGTACGAAGAGGGACATCCCTTATTTTTAGATTTACATTACATCTAAACTACTGAATTATAAAGAAATATTGGGCCACTTACTATAGAGTTACATCACAAATTCTGGATTATGAAACTGAGGCTACAGAAATGTATCCCATGTCATTTGAAACGCTCTCTCTCAAATCCTATACATCTTGCACAGACACAAGCCATTTAACAAGTACATTCTAGAGAGGAAGCAAAATGCCACACAGCAGGAGGCTCAAGGAAAGCAAGCAGAAGACTTATAAATGGCCTTTATACAGTTTTATAAATGCCAGTGGTGAAGTGTTCCCTGAGGAATAACCCTGTTCATTAGCTTATTGTTGCCCCAGGCGCCCACTCTCTGGCAGACAGAAGGCACCGCTTTTCTGCGGCGAGCTGTGAGGGCTTCTTGCTGCTTGTTCCAGTGGAAACAGCTACTAAAATCAAAATTTTAAAAAAGGCAATGAAGTGGGGGTTGGGGGTTTCAAATAAGGTAAGTATCTTACTTATTGAAGACTTTCTTCTCCAGCCGTGAACGAGACGTATTAGCCTCCTGTTTCAAGTCTGTCAGATTTGGATATTTCCTCTTCTTCCCTTTGTTCTTCCCTCCTTTTCCTTTCCCACTGTATCTAGAGGATCCAAGATCTACTCCAGTAGCTGCTTCAACCTCTCTCATGAATTCTGGGTCTTGCCACTCTGTTTAAAGAGGAAAAAAAAAACATTTTAAAGATCAGACAATCCCATCTAAAACTTGGGAATTTCCAGTGGTATTAGGGCCTGTTCACAAGGAGGGAAGAACCACGTTGCTGTAAGGATTTTAGACTGAAAACTAAGTTATATAGCCTAATGGGTGCAAGAGGACTAATCTACAGCACAGATCTCTGGGAAGAAATCCTGGCCAAGATGATTGGGCATACCTCCTAATATCAACTGCGGTAGCTAGTACAGTTCTTGATGCAAGGCGTAAGTCAACTTCTTGTAAAAGAGCAACAGCAGAATCCCAAGGAATGCACTTCACACGGGAGAAGTAGCTTAAACACTGAGGTTATTATTATTTAATCTAACAAGAAGCTGCCAGTCTGAGCTCACAAGTTTATCATGTAAAGTAAATTTTGGAAAAATGAATTAAAAAAAAATTGTGCCCAGGATATTTCATGTTTGGAGAAGAGTGGTTGCTTAGATATGCAATAGCATTTCCATAGTCAGGAATTAAGATTGCTTCAAAATGCGTAGCTAATTTCGGACAGACCAGATAGCACACTCTAAAGAAAAGGAATATGATCTTGTTCCCATCCTCTCAATATTGAATCTGGAAAAGCCTTCACTTCTGAAATATCCCACCATTTCAAATTTAAATTGTCTAAATCCAACTTTCTTCTTCCTACAACAGCACTAGAGTTAATTTAGCACTGTCAAAAACTTCTGTTGATATTTTAATTAAAGCCTTAAAATTTTCAGAACTAGAATAACCATTAACACTACTACTACTACTACTACTAAGTGCCACAATAGGAAAAGGCCTAAGTAACCTAGATTGTAAATAAACTCTTAGGGAAAGGGACTGTCATTACTTTTTGGTACAGAGTCTAGATTAATGGGGCCCCCATCCTGGACTGGGGCAATAGGTGTAATTAATAGAATAATAACGTAATATAAACAGGTAGGATTATGGTGTTGGTCAGGGCAAAAGGGACATAGTCTACATTTGAAAATAATTCAAATTCATGGGAAAATTAATCTTAAAATAGAAAAATCAAGTTATGGATTGGAAACAAACAAGTGCAAGTATAATTTTGAAAAGCAGCACACTGACTAACATGCTAGAATCCTGGAACGCCAGAGTTCTAGTTCTCACTCTGCCAATAACTTGTCAAGTAGTCTTGGGCTTGTCACCTAACCTTTCTTGATCAATATCTCCATCTGTGAATAGCAATAGCACAAGGGTGGCATTAGGTTTACTTAACATTTGTACAGAGCTTTGAAAAAAATCAAAGGTGCTAACTATTATTAATAAAGAAGCCTATAATTTCATTTGTATACCTTAAGTGGTCATGAACTATGACAAAAATATAGGTTATGCTGTTTCAGGTAGGTCAGAGGTAACATATTTCCCATAGCAGCGTTAAAATACAGCTCAGGAGTATTAACACATCTATGCAGGGAAAGGATAGATCTAACCTATCAATTTTATGCACACAAAAACAGAGCGAGATTAAAATTATGCACAAACAAAAGGATGAAGAAAGCAGAGGTAGGAACGAACTGAGAAAGGGAAGTATAAAGGCAGAAAATAGAATCCACACAGTTGATAGATCAGAAGACTTCACAGAGTTTATTTTTTGAAGTGAAGGAATACAGAGGAGCACAATTCAGATACAGGAACGATTAATCCAAGATTAAGGAAAACTGTCTAAACAGTTTATCTCCCAGTAATAAGAAGGCGTCACAGTTTAGGAACCCAGTGAATGGAGCAATTGTTTAAACACAACGAAAAAATGCCGGCATCCAGTAGAGATGAAATGAGCATTTGAGTAAAATGAAGGAGCAATTTAAAAGCCTTTGAGAAAAATCAATAGAATGCCAGGGAAGAGCAGCCTTTTTGAGCATTGATGGGCCCCTAAAGCTCTTCATACATTGTTACTGAGTTTAGCAGCAGGGAAAAGAAAATTACACAGTTTGCAAGGGTAGGCGGGAATCAATACTGTAGTTAGTAAAGAGATGCTATTTCACATCTGACTGGCCAGCGGCCTGCCTTCACCAGCTTGTCCTGATACCTGTTTGTTAACAAGTCACTAAGGGCTGAAAAACCAGATACTCTTCAGGGTTGACACAAAAAATAGGCACTTAATTTGCTCCTGTGTGCGAACTATTGGAAAAGGATGAACACTGCAGATTAGGGGGTCAGTGTAATCCCTCATGATTCATTGTTTCAGGGCCAAAGAGCTTAAAGCACCGTTTTGTGAACATATGGCTAGAATCTAATACTTTAAACTAAGTATTAATTTAATAATGTTCAAGCCTCACTTTTTTTTAAAAAGATCTCCGTAGTGACCGTACTGCCAAGACACACACTGGTCATTATCATATGAACTAATTACTTTTTCATAATTGTTTTTCCATTCAGTCACATGGGGATAAAAATTAATCTACCTTCCAGTAGAGTGAAGAACACAAGAAACCAGTGATCCGAGCTAGCCTAAAGTTTCTGATAAGCAGAGACTTCTTGGGAGTACCCATTACAAATTCATGCACTTGAAATCAGAAGCAGCAAACATTAATTAGATCTAGATACATTTAAATAAAAGGAACTAGATTAGTTCCCTCAGGAAGTCTTTACATTCTGGCATGTATTAGAAATTACTAGTAAAAGGACCAATTTTGTACTTAAGAGTAAAATAAAAACAGTTTAATTTGGCAAGGGAATGAAAGTGTTTATTACTTTAGAACAGTAATGGCACCTTTCCTTGGCCCCAAAAAACTAACATCTTATTTACTGTCATCTTTACAAACCTGCCACTCATTGCTTAAACACCCTGTTCTTTCAGCTTTACAAGCCTAGTTAGGAAATGGACAGGTTACTGGAGAAGGTGGAATAGGTGCATGCTATTCCTCTCTCCCCCACAAACTGTTGTTGTACATAACTGAAACACCCAACACTCAGCGTCTTTGTGCAGTGAATGAACTACACTCTTGACCATGATTGATCCTCATTTTGCAGTGTGTGGTCACTAATGTGTGGAATCACAGTGCCAACTGTAAGAACAAAGTATGTGTAGTAGGTGGGTTATTTTAGTCTCTAAACTACCTTGTGTTGTGAACATGTGCACAATCCTCACAGCTACACTGATCTGCTTGGTAATGCTGTTACAAGTCACTTGCAGGAAAGACATGACTTTTTAAACACTGGTTAAAACAATACATCATATCTTAATTTAAAAGTCCTTAGCTATAGACAAAAATTAATGAACCAAATACTAAGACCAATGAGCAAATATTCTCAACAACAGTTAATACACAGACATTAGGAAACTTTCTTTAAATTAAATGAATGGAAGTTTTGGCCAGGAAACTAAGTGACATAGTTTCTTTAGCTTCCCACTAGACAGGCAGAGAATGGTGGGCAGAAGGGAGCTCAGTTTGACATTTCAGCTTAAAAATGGCATTCACTAGGGCAGCAAAGTAATGTCAAAACTGGTGTGGGACTAAAGCACACATCTTTCTGGGCCAGAGGTGAGCGTGTTACCAACAGCACCACACTGACACACTAATAAAAATAAGTATTATGTCTAGCCTAGAGGAATGTCAATTTCACAGAAAAAAAAATCAATAGTTTTCAGTTTGAGTGATTTTTTTTACACCAGAGCATTAGGGCTAGTCTACACTTGAAACGCTACAGCTGTGCCACTGTAGTACTTTAGCATAGACATTACCTGTGCCAATGAGAGGGGTTCTCCCACTGGCATAGTTAATTCACCTCCCCAAGAGGCAGTATCTAAGTCGACAGAACAATTCTTCCATCGACCTACCGCTGCCTACATCGGGGTTAGGTTGGCTTAATTAAGTCGCTCAGGAGTGTGAATTTTTCAACACCCCTGAGCAATGTAGCTGGGTTGACTTAACTTTTGAGTACAGGCCTGGCCTTAGGTTCTGTTTCTAGTTTGAAACTAGCCTCTCGAGAGTAACTACTAACATAACTTCCTTTCTCGGTCTGTAGATTTTGCCAGAATTAAAATAAGAAAAGTCAAAACTTAAAAAAAAAAATAACCACGCTCTTGCTATACACAAATCCAGGCTATTGGTTTATACTTAAATGCACCTTTATGCTGGTTAGCAATTTTTGGATAGTAGGTCATGATGGCCAACTACTGTTGTTTATGCTTTGAAAAGAGATTTCCAGGGGAGGCTAGTGGCTGAACTAATAATAGCTAACAATCAAGGAATCACTGGATTCCAGACTCACTTCAAATAAGATGCCAACATATCAGGAATACATATGAACAAGGCACACAATCTTTTCCAGTTTCAGAAGTGCTATTTCTGGTACTGTACTACTAAGCAGAAACAGAAGCATAACTATACTAGAGGTGAATTCCTTGCAAACTTTCCTCCTGGGGAGGGTAAATAAAAATGTGAAGTCGGGAGGAAAATACCAAATTCCTACACTAAGGCAATGAAAACACAGAACCAGTATTTATGATACCACAGTAGTGTAGATGCTATAGAGATATCACCACCTCATCACCACGATACATACATGTAGCACCTGCTACAGATCAGTATTGCTTCCAATTGAAACGTTAGCTGGCTTTAGTCAGAAATATAGGAACAGCTGCCATCAAACATTTTCCAGGAAAATGGTGTAACTGTATTTAAAATGTGAGCTCCTCAAGAGGGTTGCACCTTATCTGTATAGAAAGTGTCTAGTCCATTGTGAGTGCTACTAGGTATAAGCAATAAACAAATATCATCACATACAGAGTGAGAAGAGGAACATTAAAAATATTTATTTTAGAGTAGGCACCATACAATAACAATACAATGAAATGAATTTATTTAGTTATGTATTTCATACAAAAAACTACATTAAAATAATATTGTGGTTGCAAAGTCAAGCACTCAATGAAATGCCAAACTGAAGTTGCCCTTGCAACAATATTTCAGCCCCCTTGCACGTGTGGCTTTCATATACACTACAC